TTGAATCTGACGTGACATGTTCGTACGAACCCTTTGTACGAACAAAAGTAAGAGAAATTTAGGATAAGAATACGAACATGTTCTTGCATGAGGCATTGATCCATAAATTACGCACAACTTTACGCAGCAACAAATCTATTGTCTGCATCTTGTGGAGCTGAGGAATCATCACAGCTGAGCTGTTCTGATTTAATCTGCTAAGTTGACAAAGTTTTTTTTCTCAGTGAAAATTAAAATGTTTCTTAGACAATTCACACATTTTATTCTCCTCAGCTGTGTGTGCACTCTGCATGTTTCCAACTATGTGACAACGATATAAAAACTTTACAGTTTACAGACTGGACTGAGGTTCTTTGATCATCTTTAGACTGATCTATTTTCATCTGAGGTTAAATGATTTTCAGTCCCGGAGTTCAGTTTCATCATCGTTCAGTTTAAACAATAAAAACTCAAACTAAAATAAAAACCCAACACCGTGTTCAGACGCTCCTTACATCCAGAAAACACAACAGAGTCATATTTCTGTGGATTCAGGTCAGATTCATGACTTTGTGAGTTAAAACTGTCGACTGAAAAACTTCGTGTGGCTGCTGCACATTCTCACAGCAGGTTTTAATAAATCCCAACGTGGGCGCAGAACCTGACCACGCAACTTTTTTACGCGTACGCACCGTTTGTACATGAGGCCCCAGGTCCTCCACAGTGTGCGGTGAAACAGACTCAGATTAAATCAAACTGAAGACGTTAAATCTGTTGGAAACAGCAGGACATTTATCTGGTTTCAGAATCCAAGTTTTTAGTCAAACTTTATTCATTACAGACATTTGGAGGTGAGAAATAAACCTGTTTATTAAACTTTTCTTCATCTTTGTGCCTCAGATCAACTTTAATGTCTTTGAAGCTCAGATGCTGACGGTTCAGTGCAGCTTTGCTGGTTTTTAACATTCATAGTCAGATATTTTACAGTAAACAGAAATTTGATGAATCCACAGCTGAAGTGTTTTGATTACAAACATTAGTTTCTTTAAAGCTGAGGAAAAAGACAGCAGAATAAAAAAACATCTACTCTACATTTGGTGCAACGTGACTAAGAGACTGGAGCAGCTCTGGGTTTTGTTTCAGTGCTGGTTCCTGCTGTCTGTTGTCTCGTTAGTGCTTAGTCCAAAAACTGCTGAAGTTGCTGGAGCTCTTCGGAGCGAGTCTCCCTAATCTTAAAGCAGCCCTGGGTTCAGGCTGTGGTCCACCTTCACCTTTATGGGTCTGTTGGACCCTAAAGGCCTCTCTCAGGTTCTGAACACGGGCCTCCTTGCTCCTGATTTCTTCTACCACTCGACTGGGAAACCAGCCTCGTTCCTTATCGTGAAGTCTTTCCCCCATCATCCAGCCTGGAAGAAAACACACCTGGATTAACAGAAAGAAATGGCGGGAACTAAATCCGCTGAGCAACAATTAATTTTGCTCGGATACCGTCGTTGGTTTGCTCCAGGAGGTTGAAGACGTCTCCGATCTCTGCTGCTGTCTCGTCTGGTTCCTGAGCAGAGTAGGACATGATGCACTGCACCTGAGGGAAGTCTGCAGGACAGCAGAGAGGAGGTGTCAGTTCCCGAGTCCTCAGAGCTTAGTTCAGTGTGTGAGCGGTGCTGCCTCACCTTCTTGATGGGCTCCAGAGGGCATGAAGCGTGTCCGCCTGTTCGGAGTCAGAGCATGCATCCATCGCAGCTTCTCACTCCTGCAACATCGTCATCATCAGACCTTTTATTACCTGCTCTGCTTGGTGAACGTCTGTTGATCCTACAGCTGTCAGAAACACATCCTCTAACGCTCAGTCTAAAGACTAACATCTATAATTACATGACATGTTGTAGGAATATACTGTAGTATTCTGAGACATGGATTCAGTACTGTGTGTACTACTTCCTCTAAACCAGTGGTGTCAAACTCATTTTCACCGAGGGCCACATGAGCGTTATGGTGGCCCTCGCAGGGCCACTTGTAATGAACTTTGATGTTTCATGTTTAACTTTGACTAAATAAAGTTTTAACACGTCCTCTTTTAAACACTGATAAGAACTAATATGACTGACTAAATCTGTAATAAATACAGAAATATTATTAAAAGTAAAACAAATAAAGTTTTACTCACTGATGAGTTTCTAGTGAGTAGCTGCATCATGGCAGATTTAGTTTATGTTTGATGGTGACTTTAAAGCAGCTCATTTTCAGACATTAGTACTGAGCTATCCAACTAAATTACTCAGTTACTTCAAGCCAACAGCTCAGGGACAGGAATTTATTAAATTTATTTTTATTTAATTAATTTTTTATTGAATTCATTTTGTTGCATTTAACCATAAATTTAAAGTTTACCATTCATATAAAAAACAAATTTCATGTTCAGTCAAAAAAAATTATTATTATTATTTTTATTATTTTGGGAGGGGACCCCCCTAGCGGGCCACACGGGAGTCATTTGGCCCGCGGACCTTGTATTTGACACATGTGCTCTAAACTGTTTGTTTTCTACATATAACCAGTGGCAGAGCCAGACGTTGTTCTCGGGGTGGCCAGACTGGGACCACTACTCACACAGGGGTGGCCAGACTGGGACCACTACTCACACAGGNGGGACCACTACTCACACAGGGGTGGCCAGACTGGGACCACTACTCATACAGGGCTGGCCAGGAAAATTACATGATTTTTTTTATTTGAAGTTTTCTGCAGATCTTTGTATTTTGATAATTTCCTTATGTCCTTATAGGCAGTGACCTTATAAACATGGGCGTCAGAACCATTTCAAAAGTGGGGGGACACACTGTTGGGAGGTCTGGGGGTCCTCCTCCAAAAGATTTTGAACAAGATAGACGCCATTTCCTGCATTCTGGTGTATTTTACCAGGTTGTTTAACATACTTTTACCTACTTAAATAAACACTTGATTTAATAATTATTTCAGAGACAGATTCTTCATTAAACTAGTTCCATCATCCTGTTTTTAAACTCACTGCTTTACCTGAGATAAGATTAATTAATGTGACACAATTTATCATATCCAATGACTGTAGAGGTGCTTTTAATTTTTTTTATTGTTTATTGATTTATTTTTAATTGTAACACATGTCATTGTGCCAAATAATGATGACCATGAACTGCATGATTAAAACTTATATTAATAATTTTACCCAATGAACAGGTGTAATACTGATAACCACCAACAGTGAATTTAGAGGGGTGTTTCACTTTTTCTGATTTAGTGATAGGACTACTCATAACCAAACACAGAGCATCATGTAGCCTTCAGAACATAAAATGAAAATAAAATTGTCACCATAAGTCCAAAAGTTGACACAATAAGTCTGATTACATAGACATATGTTCTGTATATGTAGGCTGTGTCCAAAACGGCAGGCCGGGTCCTCCGAAGGTCGAATTTGTCGGCCGCATACGTCACAGCACCGCGACGAAGGACGTCCAAAACCGAAGACTCCTCCGATGCGGCCGACAAATACGTCCTCCCTTTGGCCCGAATCGAAGGACAGGTCTGATGGATCCTTCCTGGCCCAGCATATCCCATAATGCATTGTGGCCCGACCGGAGATTTTTTTATGCTAGTAATGGTGGACGAAGCAAGAGAAAAGAATACATTTTAAATAAAAATATGACGATATAAAAATTAAAAATTTTAGCGGTTGTAATTCTAATACTTTTATCATTTGTATAAACGTGTTGTTAAATATTATTTTTGTCATAAAAAAACGTGAAATAAAACATGCACCTACAGCGGGTCTATTAGTTCTTCAAATGATACTTTTAAGTTAATTTTATTGTTTTGTGATGTTAATAATGCTAATATATTGATATTTTTCTAATTTTGATCCATTTTTGCTTCTGTTTAGCATCATCATAGTTGCTAGGTGACATGACGTACGCCAGGGTAAGGAGGGGAGGCTAGACCGTCCAAATTCACAGCCTCTTTTTATCCGGTCTTCCCGGTCTACCAAGGACCCGGCCCACCTCGACAGGGTAGTCTGGGTCCTCCGGAGGACCAGGGGTCGGATTTATAAAACTGGCGTACAACAATTTGAGCCCAGAAACTTGCGTACGCCACTTTTTACGCCAAGGTTGTGATTTATAAAATCCAAACTTGACGTGAAAATGTGCGGTGCCTCAGCCAGCTCTGACCCATGCGTACGCTCATTTTGGAGACATGAAACTGCGACACAGATGGTGAAGTGAAGAATTAGAGCCACACTGTGTAATGATCACTGTCAGAGATTTAATTTACCTTCAGAATCAGACTTACATTTTTATTCAACTTTATCATCAGTTTTATTAACAGTAATATTTGTGCTGCTGCTGCTGAGCCATGAGGACCTTTGAAATAAAAAACTTAAATTTTAAATAAAAGTTCCCGTGTGCAACTCCATTCATCTGCTTCCTCCTCAGACAACACCGACCCACACAGACCCCTCCCCAAGCAGGACAGCAAAAGTCATGCTTTGGATACACGCGCAGGATAACAGAGCAGGCAGGAGGGGGAGAGGACGAGGAGAAGAGCGGTGGACTTATTTCTAATTTTACCTGACTTATTTAATTTTATTTTTATTGTTTTTATCGTCCTGCAGGCTCTGAGAGAAAATTAATTTGAAGCTGAGATTTTTTTAAATAAAAATCATTGGATTACTCTAAAGCAAAATGAGGGAAAATCTGTGTCAGTTACAGACATTCTGTTCACGTGAGCAGCTGTCAGTCAGCACCTGTCAACCTCCAGACGCATGACGGAGCGTGTCTGAACCAATCACTGATCAGCTGACTGATTTAAATACATCTTAACATTCATGAGGTACTTTACATTGACTGTTTATGGTTGAATGTGGGCGTACAGAGGGTAGAACCTGAGGAGAACCTCGTGCGCAAACTCTGACGTGCTGCTGTGATTTATAAAGGAAAGATGCGCAGAAACGTGCGTACGTACGGTTTTATAAATCTGGATTTTTTTGGCGTACGCCATTTCCGCCTTTTGGCCGTACGTTCACTTTTAGTATGGTTTCTACGCAATCCTTTATAAATGAGACCCCTGGCCTGTTGTTTTGGACACAGCCAAAGAAAACCATCACTTCCTTGTCATTACTCTTCTTCAGTGATGGAGCTTGATGATGTTTCAAACTGTTAAACACTGCCACCAACTGTTCAGGAGGATTATTACACCCCTAAATTGTTGTTTCACTGTGGAAGGAGATGTGTACAGCAGGGTGGCCAAAGATTTGTCTGTGGTGGCCATGGCCACCCCTGGCCACCCCCTGGCTCTGCCCCTGCACATAACTTAAAATGGATCCATTTAGACTGGCAGCTGATCCAACCCGTCTCATGTCTCTGATACTCACACACTGGAGGTCTGGATCATGTACAGGGCTGAACTCTTGTCCTGGTTCTCCAGCATCTTCAGAGTAAAAACGTTGGCCAGTAGTTTACTCTGATCCTCATGATCCTCAGTCCTCAGCATGGCTCGGGCAGCTGAGTCCAGGACCTGAAACTTCTCCCCACTGACATCATTTTCAGAGAGAGAGAGAAACAGAGAGATATTTAACCTGATCAGATGTTTTTCTAAGTCAAAAACCCTTTTGATAAGATCAGACTAAACCAGTCTTTATAAAGCATCATAATATAACATAAAAGGCTCGACAAAGGGATTAATCCCAAAAAATATTTTGCCTGAACTGATTTCTAACCCTAACTATTTGAGAGCATTGGTCTGCACACAGACAGTTACTTCCCAAAGGTTTCCATGAAAGTCAGGATGGGAAACTGGCAGGCCTCACAAAAAGCAGCTCTTAGATTCAGGTTTAAAATGTACAACAACCTCTGTATTTGTGTTTGCCACTAGATGATGCCTTTAACACATATTCCACCTTGCACACACGTCTTTTCTACCAGTGAGGAAGAGACGTGGCTGCGCACAGCGGACAGAAAAACTGTCTCAAGTCAGGGCCTGTGTCCTTTTTTATTTTTTTTTATTTTTTTTTGTTAGAGTGCACAGGTTTTTTTTAATTAATGAACCAACATAACAACACAAAGACAAAAAAAAAATAAAAAACCAACATACATATATGAACAACCATTTCACCTTAACACATCTTTATAAAATATCAATTTTAAATAAATCCTCCTTAACATCAAATTATGAAAACTTTATTAAATTCCTATGAATATTAATCAAGTAAATTAACTGCTTTAGGAATATTAGAAGTAAAAAAGATGAATAAATAACTAAATTAATTAATTGATTAATTAATTAAACTTCAACATTTCAAATAACAAACATTTAAATTAAGAGAGATGCATAAATACAAGACAATGATAATGAAACAAACATGGGTTTGAATCAGTTTAAATCCTGAAATGCATGAGAACAGTTTGATTGCTGCGGCTGTTTTAACATTTTTTAATTAATTTACAAAATAATGCAAACTTGTTTTTTAATGCTTTCTCTAATGGAAGAGATTTTGTAAAACATCATTTGTGAATATAGAATTTAGCAAGCATTACAATATTATTTGTCAAATATTCAGTCTCTTTATTTTTTATTACTATCCCATATTTAATATCCTTCCAGGTAAAAGAGCTTATTTTGACAAATTTAGAGATTAAGATTAGAGATTGTGCACGTCCTTCCAAAATCTGTGTGAAATCTCACATTCAAAAAATAAATGGTCAGTTGATTATTTACAAAATTGACAATTCTCTATTTCAAATTTGAATTTTTCAAAATAAATTCCTGTGAAGGATGTATTTAATTTCAAATTTTAAAGAGAACTTTTGTTCTAACCGACTGAATTTCTTTTTTGCTGAAATTTTTTAAATAAAATGTTCATTTAGAGGATCCAGGACACATTTTGTTAATTAAAGTTTTTCTCAAATTTTGATTATTACATTTTTTGTCTATAAAATTTAAACAATTGATAATTATTTTATGCAATCTCGGGATTAGAATTGGTTCTTAGTTATTGCTGATTATATTAATCATTGCAACTGGAACATTATCAATCACATTTCTGTAATCCTCAGGGGTACAAACTATTTTATATTTAATCCTAAATTCCTGATAATTTAATAACCCCCCTTAGGGGCTGTGTCCTCAGGAGTGTTCATTCATGCTGACGTCACTGACCCACACTGGCTGTCCCAATTCATGGGCGCCTACTCATGTGGCCGACAAAACCCCAAAAATATACAACTTAGTCTGAGTGTCCTACACAGCCGACAATATCCCAGAATTCATTGTGCCATCAGCCAACTAAACAGGAAAATGAAGACAGTGGTGTTTTTTATTTAATGGTAGTTTTGTTTTTTACAGCACAGTTTGAAACTTTAGCACAGACTGAAGAAGTGTAAAAGCTCAGCTGATGAAACTTTTGTTGCAATGAGATGTTAAATAAAATACAGTTACATGTAATGATACTACGAACATAAACCCAAATTATTGTTTTTTTATTTGCTTACTTGTAAACTTTTTTAATAAAACTGAATTTTGATGGTAATACTGTATATAAAAATGTCCTCAAAGCTTCTCCACTAACTTCTTGTTGGAAGTCCGTAGAGTACATGTGATAAAAAAGTGAATATACCACGAGAAGGTCTCACCTGGGCTTGGTTATCAGGAGCAGATTGTTAAAAAGGTACAAAAAGGCCGGTTGGTGGAGCTTAGATTTGCGTGCGGTCCGGTTACTCTTCGGTCCAGTCATGAGCTGAACTTCACCCTTTTTTACCAACCAGCGAGAGTGTGAAATGATGGGCACGGACTAGGAGGGAGACCAAGACATTACAACATTAGAGACAATTATAAGAGGCACAGCAACGTTCAAATACCTGGGCTGAACCATACAGAGCAAGGGACGGAACAACCAGGAGGTGAGCGTCAGGGCTGCTGTGGGACAGAACAGCAGCAAGAGACAAAAAGACAAGGTTACAGGACAGTAGAGACATTATGAAAACACGGTGGTCCTGTCTGAGCTGGAGGAGGGACAGATGAAGGTGCTGAGACCAGCCTGGGACAGATAGTTGTGGTTGGTGTTGACAGAAGATCTGCTGAAGCAACCTCTGAAGGAGCATCAGAAGTAGAAGAAGAAGAAGAAGAAGAAGAAGAAGAAGAAGAAGAAGAAGAAGAAGAAGAAGAAGAAGAAGAAGAAGAAGAAGAAGAAGAAGAAGAAAGCCACACCTGCTGTACAAGAGCAGGAGTGTTAGGAAAGCAGTTCGTTTCTTTAAAATCAGGACAAGAGCCTCCTGCTGACTCGGCACAAAATTCACCATTAAACAAGCTGCTGAGTCAGCACAAAGTTCACCATTAAACAAGCTGCTGAGTCAGCACAAAGTTCACCATTAAACAAGCTGCTGAGTCAGCACAAAGTTCACCATTAAACAAGCTGCTGACTCAGCATAAAGTTCACCATTAAACAAGCTGCTGACTCAGCACAAAGTTCACCATTAAACAAGCTGCTGACTCAGCATAAAGTTACCATTAAACAAGCTGCTGATTCAGCATAAAGTTCATCATTAAACAAACACAAGCTGCTGACTCAGCACAAAGTTCATCATTAAACAGACACAAGCTGCTGAGTCAGCACAAAGTTCACCATTAAACAAGCTGCTGACTCAGCATAAAGTTCACCATTAAACAAGCTGCTGACTCAGCATAAAGTTCATCATTAAACAAACACAAGCTGCTGACTCAGCACAAAGTTCATCATTAAACAGACACAAGCTGCTGAGTCAGCACAAAGTTCACTATTAAACTGACACAAACTGCTGATTCAGCATAAAGTTCATCATTAAACAGACACAAACTGCTGATTCTGCACAAAATTCATCATTAAACAGACACAAGCTGCTGAGTCAGCACAAAGTTCACTATTAAACTGACACAAACTGCTGATTCAGCATAAAGTTCATCATTAAACAGACACAAACTGCTGATTCTGCACAAAATTCATCATTAAACAGACACAAGCTGCTGACTCATGATAAAGTTCATCATTAAACAGACACAAGATGCTGACTCATGATAAAGTTCATCATTAAACAGACCACTGTGGCACTGTTTAGGCCTCTGCGTTAACTGTTTTGAAAATGTGGATTTTGAGTTGACGGCTGCATCAAAACAATCAAAAACTGTATAAGATTAGCACTTGTGGAGTTCCTCAGAGTTCTGTGCTTGAACCAACACTGTTTACTTTATATGTGAATGATTTGATCAAGGTGTTGAAGCTTTTAAAATGCATTCTGTTTGCTGATGACACAACACTTTTATTATTCTGGTGAAAACATTGAACAGATGGAGATGACATACATGGAAGTTAGGAAGGTACAAACATGGTTTCAAC